TCCGTGATCGTATACGCAATATCAGCGGTGCCGAGATAAAACGCGGAATGGGAGGCTTGCATGGTAACAAAGGCGCGATTGTTGTACGGTTTATGGTAGACGATACGTCGCTCTGCTTTATCAACTGCCATCTTGCGGCGGGACAATCATCAGCGAACCAGCGACATAACGATATCGCGGCAATTATGGAGAGCGCTCTCCTCCCCGTAGAACGCGATCCAAGCGTCCGTATCGACAGTTACGTGGGTGGCGGTGACGGCACCATGGTCCTTGATCACGAGCTATGTCTACTCAATGGTGACCTCAATTACCGCATTGATACCATGTCGCGGGATACAGTCGTAATCGCTGTAAAACAAAACAATCTGGCCAAACTTCTTGAACGGGATCAGCTCCTCGTAGCCCGTCGGAGGAACCCTGCATTCAAGCTTAGGGCCTTTGACGAGATGCATATCGAGTTCCCCCCCACGTACAAATACGACGTGGGAACGGACAATTACGACACTAGTGAGAAGAAGCGCTCCCCAGCATGGTGCGATCGCCTCCTTCACCGAGGTTTCGGTAGAATACAGCAACTTGAATACAGACGGCACGAGGTCCGGGTATCAGATCACCGGCCCGTGAGTGGTCAGTTCAGGTTTACTGTTAAGTCTATATCACCTAAGAAGCGAACATTGGCTTGGGCGGACTGCCAGCAACGCTTCGAGAACCTCAAGGAGAAGGAGGCGACTGCGGAGAAGTGAGTCTAACCGCGACCCCCCCTCCCCCCCCCTTCTTTAGTATATATGATACGGTCTCTAACCTTTACGCAGGCTTTACTATCTTACGAAGGTCATCGGTTACGATTCAGATACGAGCATGAGATTGATACGTGAAAGGGCTGCCAGGTAATAGGCCGGTCCGGATTCATATAGAAGAATAATACGATATTGAGGCAACGAAGACCAATTCTACAAGTAGAGTTGGAAGAGCAAATGACGTAGAAATCGAAAGGATCTGCCAACACCCGAGAGGAAGAAAGAGAGAAAAGATGAAGCAGGTTTAATGAAATAGAGAGCCAGCGTGATGATTACCTGTTACAATGTAACACGATACAAAGTTAGCAGATCCTGCCATTAAAGGTGGACTGTTATTACTGTAATTCCTGGTTAGATGGTTGGGCTTATGAGAGATGAATATTGTCGACGTTAAGAAGCGCGACGATAAAGAAACATTATCATAGAGAATCAAAATAAATAATGAATTCCAAAGAGAGACCATAAAGCTCCATAGGTACCTTAGGTAACCTAACCTGTTAACCTAGGAGGTAGGTATGCAGCCATCAATTTTTATAAGTGGCGTCTAGGAATAGATGTAAATACGTAACGGGTTGTCCGTCATCGGTTTGCTTTTTGATTGGTCTGTTTTGATCCCATTCCAGGTGGTATCTACTTAAACCATATGTATATGTCCAGTGGTACGGATCCGTACATCTCCTAATCTAGGTGTGATATATATCTCTCTCTCACCTCCCTCCTTTTTTAATCCGAATCTAGATAGCTGGAGATAAGCCGGCACACCATAAAGCCAACAGAAGGTGAAGATTAGGTAGATACACACGCCTACAAGGTATCTGAGCATTAGGTAGCTTTCACAAACATGTTAGGAAGCAATTTGTACCTACTACCCACCTTATTATGTCTACATACATCCCTCAGGTAATCAATACTATTTGTATTTTCCTCTTAACTTTTAGTTCAGGTCTTATGTGGAGTCGGCCGTCCTAGCAAACCTAGAAGGTTTACCGTTGTTTTTTTTTTTTTTTTTTACCTCTTCCCTTTTTCTGTTTTTCTTTGACGTAAAAAGGTATTACGAATTTCAGGGTCCGGGTTCCGATATAGCTCTTGGTTTTCCCGTCGGCGATGTCCTTTTTTTCATACCTTAGGCTGATGGGTTTCACGATTAATATATAAGAGAAAGATATTGGTGAAAGTGAAAAAATAATTAGATATTGCCACTACGCGACTAATAACACAGTAATTGGTTACGATAAGAATAAAAAAAAAAAAAAAAAAAAAACTCCGTGGTATATACTCGATTGCTTCAAGTACTTGGACGCGGCCTAACGGTGCGAAGCGATAACTCATCGCATTTTGCTCTAGCAGTTGATTGACAACTTCGGACGAACGTGCGACGTAGACGGGTCTCAGGCTGCGTCTCTAAGAAACGGCCAGGATATATAAATCCGAACAAACGCAGAAAAAAAAAAAGTCGCCCCTAAGTCAAGGATATAAGTTTATATAAAAACAAGGCACAAGGAACCTATCGGATATCTCTTACTCCACCTCAACTATTTCAACGATGGGGGCCCTTACAACTGCCGCAAACGGCAATGTCGAAGTTACTACATATCCCGAGTCGCGAGTGCTCATCATCATCACCGGAGGCACGATATGCATGCAGCCCTCGGCGAGCGGCCTCGTGCCTGTCGATGGGTTTATAGACAATGCTATGGCGCCGCGTCTATCGTTCAACGACATGTCGGAAAGAGGTACGTCATATTTCAATTAACTAAGAGGAATGTGTATTTGGTAGGGAGTCAAGAAACGCCATTAAAACGAGATGTATATCTATGACTAAGTGCTCGACGTGGGATCAGCCAAAGCTATAAGTAGATCATTGTTTGGCTACGGAGGTTGAAAAGATGGCTATAGGATTTAAGCAAATCCACTTATAGAGTATACGCAATGATGTCTTCTCTCTTCTAGGCTCAACTTTATAGCATCTACTTTAGGCAGCATTCACGACTGTTAAATTTGGGAAACTGGTTACTTTACACTTTACATAATAAGCAAGAAGGTAGCTAACTCAATACAGTTCCTCTCACCGCGGTTAAGGACGGGGTCGAGGTCACCATCGACAGCTTACGCACACCCCCGAGTTCATACTCGAGGCACATCCGCTACGGCGCACTCGAATTCTCACCCCTGCTGGATTCTTCTAGTATAAGCAGTTTCGGTTGGACTCAGATCGCCACGACTATCAAAGACAACTACCACCTATTCGATGGCTTTGTCGTGCTCCATGGAACTGATTCCTTGGCTTATTCGGCTTCAGCTTTATCTTTCATGTTGGTACGTACCTGAACATGGAATCTGTACGGAAATTTGGTTTTCAACTTATTGGAATGGGTTTCCTTGGATAGAGTGACGAGTTTCTTTAGGTAGCTCTTACTAACATTTCTAAAACAGGAAGACCTAGGAAAGCCGGTGATCTTAACAGGATCACAAGCCTCCATCTTTGCGCTCCAGTCCGACGCCGTCGACAACTTACTCGGCTCCCTGATCATAGCCGGCACCTTCGCGATCCCCGAGGTGTGTCTATTCTTCCACCACACGCTGTTCCGCGGGAACCGCACGACCAAGGTCTCGGCGTCCTCGTTCGACGCCTTCGCCAGCCCCAACTGCGAGCCCCTGGCCAAGGTCACCAGCCTCGGCGTCGACGTCAACTGGTCGCTCGTCCGCCGGCCCACGAAGATCGCCCAGTTCCGCGTCACCCCGTACGTGGACACCGCCCACGTCGCCTGCGTCCGCATCTTCCCCGGCATCAAGCCCGAGATGGTCGACTCCGTCCTCCGCGTCCCCGAGCTCCGCGGCCTCATCCTCGAGACCTTCGGCATGGGCAACGCCCCCGCCGGCGTCGACGGGAGCCTGACCAAGGTCATCGCGGCCGCCGTCCAGCGCGGCATCATCATCGTCAACGTCAGCCAGTGCACCAACGGCTTCGTCTCCCCGCTGTACGCGCCCGGGTTCGCGCTCGGCCGCGCGGGCGTCGTGTTCGGCCACGACCTCACGTCCGAGGCTGCGCTTACCAAGCTCTCGTACCTCCTCGCGCTCCCCCCGAAGAGCGAGGGCAGCCACGCGGCGGAGATCGCGGCGCGCATGAGCACCTCGCTCCGCGGCGAGCTCACCGAGCTCGCCGCCACCACGTCCTTCGCGCACCCGCCGCCCGCGGGGCCGGACGCCTCGTGGGGGGAGCGGCTGACGGGGCCGGAGGCGGCGTTCACGGCGCTCGGGTACGCGATCGCGTCGGGCAACTTGCGAGCGACGACGGAGATCCTCGAGGCCGCGGACCGGGACGAAGGCGGCGAAGGCGAAGGGCCGATGGTGTTGCTTCGCCACGCGGACTACATGGGCAACACGGCGGTGCACCTGGCGGCGCTGGGGCCGGCGCCGGAGGTGCTGAAGGAGCTGCTGGTGCGGGGGGCGAGCGTGCACGCGCGCAACCGCGCGAACAACACGCCGCTGTTCCTGGCGCGGCGGGCGGGGAACGAGGGCTGCGCGAAGTTGTTGCGGGAGGCGGGGGGGATGTTGTGGCAGGAGGAGGAGGTGGTAGAAAGGGGGTAAAACGATGGCTTGGCCTTTTCACTTGTGCGTTGGCGGGATGGGACGGTGATCTGTTTGCTATACAGGTAGAGATTGGGAGAGATGGGCAAGATGCTTAGGAAAAGAGGGTTTGGTATACGGCGTGTTACGTGTGATAGAGGGGATGTATTATGTTGGGTTACCGCATAGACGAGTAGAGGGCTTTGATATAGACAGTGACACAGCGTTCACCGGTATTTACGGGAAGAAGAATATCGGAATAGATAGTGGAATAGAATAAGACCAGGCGTTTGATTTACGATGGGAAGCCATATCTATTGTTCCAAATATTACCTTAGGTACCTTAAACCCACTTATTGTGACGCCGTAATGAAGTTATCTTAAGCACGTTTCGACGCTGTTGATTCAGCGACAGGGAAGAATAGCAAAGGGAGGAAAGTAGCATTCGACAGCCGAGAGAAAAAAAAAAAAAAAACATGAACAAAAAAAAAAAGAACTTCAGATACAAGTTGCTATGAAGCAGTGACGTTTTCTACCCATTATAATTATAAGATATAAAAAAGAAAAAGAGAAAAAAAAAGGAACGAAAAAAAATATGGTTGCTAATCCCAGTTTTCTGGGAAGCATCAGGAATTGAGCCCGATGCGGGGGTCGAACCTATGAGACGGAATGTTAGCTAGGTGTATTTTGGTGGGAGATACGCATGTAAGAACTTACCCGCAACCTTGAGATTAAGAGTCTCACGCTCTACCGATTGAGCTAACCGGGCGCTTATTGGTGAAAGCTCGTTCGGTTTTGAGCAATATAAAGGAAAGGTTGTGCGTGTGTGTACTGTATAATGCGCGAGGGTTTGGAATATCGAGCTAAGCAGGGCCGGTGTCCCTTTTTTTTTTTTTTTTTTTTTTTTTTTTTTAGAATTGGTTTTTTTCTAGGATGGTTTGAGGTGGAACCATTTGTTGAGGTGGGGGGGTTCGGGGGATGCTTTTCTGTGCGAGCTAGGAGTTAGGTGAAGTAAAAAAAAAGTTGGATTTGTATCAGTATAAATGAATGGGTAAAAGGTATCAGATATGTATGACTTTCCAGTGTAGTTAACTTGGTTAGAAGTAAGTCAAAGGTAAGTTGTGACATCATATATATAATGCATCAGTTTCATAGGTTTCTTGGGTTAGGCACTTCTTCGTTGTAGACTGAAGTTATGGGTCCTCCTTTTCTACTCGGTATTGTCTTGATATATATCAACCTTCATTGTGAGGGAAGAAGTAATTCATATAAAATGTTTATAGTACCTCATGAGCACATATTAGATAGTTCAGTAATCTGGAAACCAGAATCTTTCATAAGACCTTACTGTCTATGAAAGATTATATTTTGAACTATTTCTTTTGGTATTACATCCTCTGCTAGTTGAACTATAACTTCAAGGAATGACTGCATGAAGTAGAAAGGCCTGCCTTGTCGAGGTTGATGATTCTAGAATTAGCCAGCCAACACAACTAAAATCATAGAACGATTCAACTTGACAATGGAGGTATACTGCTGCGAGGACTTGCAAATATTCTCTAGCCCGTGGAGTGTTAACTGGTATATAACACTATAGTGCAAGCCCCTTCATCAACCAATGGGTCTTCACCCACGAAGAATCCATAGGCCGCTTGGCCCAATGGTAAGGCGTCTGACTACGACCGAGCATGTAAAACATGATCGAAAGCAATCAGGAGATTCTGGGTTCGAGCCCCAGGGTGGTCACTTCTATTTTTTTGCTCTCATCGTATATAGAGAACCTGTGGTGGGTAATTATATCGTAGGCAGCTAGGGTTCGCTTAGGGTCGACGTTATGGAGCCTCTAGGGTTCCAATGTTGGTGCTACATAGTATGTAGGTGTGTTGAATCCTCAGTCCATCTCTTTTTGGGGCCCACTTAGCAAGGATAACGCAAAAGACTGAGAATTTTGGAAGAGCCTACCGTTGGAATAACAAGAGTTCGCAACGTCCCAATAGATATCACCGTTGACTGTTTCCCTTACTAGCAATAGCGAATGTAGAATATGTCTCAATAATTTTATAGGCCTCCCCTCCCCATTACTACTACGAGAGTAACGTAGGTACTAGGTTGTAGAAATCATATCCTAGAGACCTATGAGATAATTCTTATAACGGTACGCAAAGTGCACTGCCATATGTTAGGGACACAGTTACATCCACGGTTAAACAGTTTTTGTTATTTGTCGAGTAGGTTGTATACGTCTTATATCACAATAATAGTAAATTGGCCAATCATATAAGAGCATCTAACGTTGGTGTTTCCTTTATAAGTCGCGTGGTCTAATGGTTATGATTTCTCGTTCACATTGATGTGTTCAAAGTTCCGAGAAGGTTCCGTGTTCGATCCACGGCGTGACTAAACTTTTGCTTCTGAGTGTGTCCGGATACACGAATACTTTTTGCCGTCGTAGCTAAATAGTTGGTTTCTTCAGGTTTATGCTAGTTCGCATTTAGCAAGATCGTTAAGGGACTATTGGGTGCATGGTTTAAAGATGTTGGTTGGCAGGAGTAAAGCCCGTCTGGGTATACGTAGAGCACTCTATACTGTATGTTAAGCAGTGAAGTAAATTGTTTGTAGAATTCTAAATAGACATCTAAAGTCTTGATATCCTATTCAGATGTACATATATTATTTTTTTTTAGTCCACCCCCGCATTGGGGGATTAATAGGGGCACCCTGACCCCTGTCGCCGTATTGCATGACACGGCGTTCTTCTAAGGCCGTGTATATAGTATAATATGAGCTGACTCCATTCCCAAAGAAAATAACGATAATATTGAATTGACAAATCATATTATAACTGGGATATTTTTACCGTAACTTTGAGGGTACCTTAGCACATATGTGGAGGGAGAAATCTTGACGCTCAGATATTAGTACTTCCTAATTGTGGATTGTGACGCGTCTAGAGGCTGAAGAGGAACCGTTCAACAATCCTTGTCTTATAAGTAGCAAACAATGGCTGAACTTCCAGACGCAGCACAACCCCCGAGGACGATAACCCCAAAAGTGCGGTCCTCATGCGACTCGTGCGGATCGGCCAAGGTCAGATGCGACCGTAGTCGGCCCAAATGTCGCCGCTGCGTTACCCTCGATATTGACTGTGTATACGGCATCTCACGCAAGCTCGGGAGAGTACCAAGAAGGGGGCTATCCGCAAGGATCAATTCTAGGGCTTTAGTTGGAACCTCTGGGCAAACACAGACATCACAGCCTGAAAACAACTCGGAAGATTTTATAAACATGGTCCTCGAGGAACCAAGGCGAATACATAGTAACGCAGAAGGGTTGCTTTCGGGTCCGAGATGTGAGACATCGCTACCCGGAAGCAACATTGATGCGCCATCACCAAACACCTATAGCCATGACCAATTTGGATTAAATTTATTCGACCCTCTGGCTATAGATCAGTGGCCTCAGTTTGACATATTAGACTTTGGCATTCGAACAACATCCTCACCAAAGGATTCAATCGCCGAAGCTAGAAACCAGGGCGCTACAGATACTCGCGGGCCTCACAGTTGCGCCCGGGAGTCATACGAAATCTTTGCAGATTCGATCTGCCCTGCTCCGGATCTTCACGCTCCTAACACTAACTCAGACACTGTAACAGCCCGGTTGGACCAGGTACTTCACTTCAATAGGAACGCCATCGACCGACTTAGTGGCACTCTAAAGTGTTCCTGCGCAAAGTCTGGACATCGAGTTATGGTTCATGCGTCAATCATCTCTCGCATTCTGATCTGGTATCAACAGGCTGCTGGATGGCCATGCAGCACCTCTCCAGAAGCCCTACCAGCCGATGCAACAGACAACAGCGACGCTATTTCCTCGGTTTCTTCATCTCCTGAACCTAACGAAGCACCAAGCACTGGTTCACCAAATTTGCGGACATTGCCCCGCACCACAGGCTTCGTCGTTACTGACGCGCCGGCTACGCTGGGAACATTCAGCATTGAAGATCGGAAAATGCAAGCGGTAATCAGGAACCATTTAGTACTAAACGAGCTCAGCAGGATGTCAACTCTTATAGATCTTTTCAGTTCTCATTTCTCGGGGGAGTCGTCAGTTGCTGGCACTAGTGGTCTTTACACGTATATCGCAGCATGGCTTCGGAATGAGTATGATAATACCATTAGAGACCTCAAAGCTGAACGTATTGTGCTGCGTAATGCTTTAGATATATCCAGTTGAGCGAAATAATATGTATTCTAGTCACTATTTCATTCTCCCGTGAAGTACATCCTTATCTTTTTAACATCAGATTAGATCCTACCTCTTACCCCTTTCTGCCTCTTGTGGCATCCTACTGTTTAATATACACACGATTGGCCTTATAGGGACATTTATCTCTTATATTCCATTCCACGTTGTCACTTCAAAATGTAACCAAAGGTCATGGCTGCCTACACGTTCGGGTTCTAAAGGTTGAATCCTATTGGTCAATTCAACCCCGTTAAGGAAATCCCCGAAAATACTATTACGGAGGTACTTGAAAGCCGCCGTGGATCTACCCGCGAATCTCTTTAACTATAGCCATTTAATGTATATATAAACATGATCCCATTATAGTATTCAAGTCAGTGTCTAGTATGGGCTCTAATCTGTCTTTGCCCATATCAATCTTACTACAATGGTTCAGATTGTTGTTGCTGGAGGCTCAGGAGGTAAGGCATCCTGGTATGGTGATCAATTATGAGATATTAACCTTTCTATAGAAGTCGCTCGGGAGGTTATCGATGCCTTAGTGGCCACCAAGAAACATGATATTACTATATTGAGTAGAAAGGTTGGTGCCACAATCAGGACTTTCTGAATCAACATAGAGAATCCTATTCTGAACTTGACTATAGGTGATGGAAGTTCAGGGCGGTAACTGGCATGGTGTTACATGGCGTCAAGTTAACTATGAGGACAAGGATGGGTTAGTTGCGGCTTTACAGAGCGTCGATACTGTTCTGTCCTTTATCCAACTCCTTCACGACCCGGGTAATAAGGCGCAGAAAACCCTGATCGACGCCGCTATCATAGCTGGTGTAAAGCGGTTTGCACCGAGCGAGTGGGGAAGGTAAGTGGGTGGACTTTATCTGCCAAACTGCGAAGATCAAGTGAAGCCAGCTGATAGACATCTAGTTGTAGCGGTGTAGGAATGCCTTGGTGGACGGGCAAAGACGAAGTGAAGGAGTATCTAAGAAAAGTGAACGAGAACAAAAAGGTGAGCCGCTAGTCCTTCCTACCAATGATACCTCATGAGCCAATTTTCTAGTACGCCGGATCTGATATTTCTTAACTTAGGTCCTGGAATACTGTTTATTCCAGCCTGGCTTGTTCCTGAACTATCTTGCTACCCCACACAAGACCTCAAAACACCTAACGCCTCTGAACACCTTTGTCGATCTCCATAACCGACGAGCTGTTGTTGTTGAGGGGCATGACCCCATTATAACCTTCACTACTGTCCAGGACCTGGCGGCAGTAGTGGCTCAAGCGGTTGAGTTTGAAGGAGAGTGGCCAGTGGTTGGAGGTACCAGGGGCAATAGTCTTCCAGTCTCAAAAATAGTTGAGATCGCCGAACAAGTCCGAGGTATGATACTCTTGACTAGCTGTTGCTTCTATGTATACACTTAGGTATGCTAAGTCAATATCACAGGTAGCCCTTTCGAGGTAGATACAGTCAAATTGGAAGATCTCGAAGCTGGGAATTTAACGGCACCATGGAAATTAGAG